CAACATGTGAAAAGAAGATGTTTAAAAACTTATTTTTATATTAATTTTATTTAATGGAAAATATATACAAATAGGCATGTGACAGTGCTGAGAGCTCACAATATCACACTTTAAAATCTTTTGGATGTTTGTTTTGGATAGCCAGAACGGAAGCAACTGAAGTCTGTCTGGTTAAAGGTATTCAAGCAGTCCGGGCATGTCACAGCAGTAAGAGTCGCACTGTGACCCTGTCACACATTTAGAGAGAGGAAAAAGGTCAGGGAGAGCAGGAGAGAGCCTCTGACATGACTGGGGGTTTGAGAGGCTCTGAAAAAGGATTTGAGGAGCTGTAGGTTTGTGTGTGTGTCATTCCAGACAGAGGGAAGACAGTGGAATGTAAGAGCTGGGATCAGAAGGCAAAGTCCATGTCTCCTGAGCTCTGATTGGTCCTTGTGTGGTTGGAATGCATAAAAATGTGTGAGAGCTGGAATGTTTCTCCAAATGTCATATCTCAGTTTTTGTTTGGGCTTCCAGTATTACTAATAACCGTTTATGTTCAATACCTGAGATATTTTCACTTTGGATACGTTCGTACAGCAGTTGAATAGGGCCCATTATTTTCTCTTCACATGACACAGAATTTAAATGTTTTTTTATTTATATTTTTTTCTGTATGACGGTATGAATCTGACATTTTTAAATTCCCGGGACTCTTAAACAGCAGTAATTTTATGTTTTCTTCTTCTTCTACTTCTACTACTTTTTCTTTTTAGTCAGGGAAACCGAAATGAGGTTCTTTTTTTTCGTGTTTAATTCATATTTTTGTTCTTAAACACTGAATGCCATCAGTTTTGGAATTAATATGATTTTTACATCAATCTACATTTGCATTTAGCATAATATTGCGGTTGATTTACTTTTAAAATAATTCATGAATTACACTATATTAAGCATTGCACAAAAAAGGCAAATATAAATATATATGCATGCATTTAAAATATATAAATATTATTCAATAAGTTATATTTATTATATTAATTGGTTGTTATTATTATTGGATGTACACTATTGATCAATGGCTTTGAGCAACAACAGAAAGTAAAACTAAAAGTTATTAGACAATAAAGAACAATGTTAATGATAATTACATGAATGGAACTTCAAAGTTTTTATAATTTGATATAAGTTGTATATAATATTAATTACGTGTTAAGTTATATTATTGAAATTTGAGCATCATGCCAAGTTAGGAAGGTTGTGTAAAGATCATTTTAACTTCTTATTTAACTGGATTAGAGTAGAAACTCAGAATTGGCCACTTTACAGATCAGTGTAAATAGAACCATTGCCAATTTCCTGAAATGGTCACACCTGAGTGAGAAGTGTGCCTTTAAGACACACGCTCACCAAAAACTCATAGCAAAGTGGGGAGATTTGTAAACAGAGAGCTACGTCTGTTCATTGCTGTCATCTGGAAAGTATAAAGTGCTTAACAGTTATCCTACATACCCGTTCAGTGGAAACCATCTATATTTTTCCATCTGGCATTCAGCAAGTAGCATTTGACTGAATTGTAATTTTCATATTAACCAGTCTCAAAGAGAACATCTGACCAGCATCCACACAAACGGTGTTGTTGTTTAGTAAGCACTGACCCCTGAGTGGGTTACAATGAATGGTGTTAAAACTTGTGTCTGGGCCTCCCCTCCCATATGTTTCAAAACCTTGATAGATAAAACAAGACATCCATTTCAATAAGCCTCTTTGAACATTGAATCATATCATCATTAGCAGCAACCAGCAGAGAAATGAGCCAGATGAGCCAGATGTAGTGCGATCATACCTACTGTGACAAGCTGTGAGAAAACGGACCAGAGAGTGTATGTGTGTGTGTGTGTGTGTGTGTGTGTGTTGGAGGCGGAGGGACTAGGGGCTTTATTTGTTCATCTGTCTCAGCGTGTGTGTGAGTTCTGGAGAGCTACTCAATGAGGAAACATCTGAGAGAACCACAGGACTCGAACTAGTGTGCTACTTTTAACACGTCACCATGAGGGTGAGTGAGTGGTTTTCAATGCATTCTTTTATCTGAGTTAATTTTACTGTGCATATAAAGTGTATTTAATCCAAATGTACCATAAACTAGTGTTTAATTATTACTAATATTGTACTTTTACACACATTAGTCTGACTTATAGTGTGTTGTCATATATTGGTATTTACATATATGTATTTAGTCGTATTCCCTCATGTGTTGTATTAGCGCTCCTTTACAGCACAATTAAAAAATGTATTGCTTTAGAAGTGTTCAGGTAGCGCTGGCTTTGATTGAAAACATTCATCAAGCCTGGCTGTAAACTCCAGGATCAGAGTCTCAACAGGCCTGGATGGAAGCAGATCAAATGATTAGACTCCCTCCTACGGTTCCCTCAGCCTCTGTGTGTTTCAGAGCACTTTTAATACTCAGGGTGTGCCATGATCTTAAACGATTTCCTTCCCCTAGGGGGACCAGCTAATGACAACTACAGAGGGCCCTTTTAAACTCATAAATGAGTGTTATGCACATTGGGGTCTGTTGTAGTCCTGGTCTAAAGTGGGACTAAACATCTCTTTTAGAACTGAGAACATCTGTGTTCAAGGTCTTAACAGTTTTTGATCGAAAAATCTCTAAAAATGGGAGATGTTGCTCTTGGCCCTTAAGCAGAGATAATTAGCTGTTACAGTATACAGCAATTATTGGTGCAAATTGTAGTTGACGAGAAACTTTCTGTGATATCACCTCTTTAGTATTAGAAGGGCGTTTGGGTTGTTAAGGAGCCTGGAAGCCTGAGGAATGAAAGCACAGGGGCTTTTCGTAATTCAGACGTGTAATTTTCTTGATGAGACAGCCTTGTCAGGTGAAGACATGTTGATGTGGTTCTGATAGGTGATTGAACATTCTTTTCATCTTTTCATATTTTTAAGTGATTTATGTCACAGCGGATCAGTTTCAATGGTCTCTCTGAGCCACCTATTTAAATTCAAGCTAAAATCATTTTCATTTGGTAATTTGGATGGAAGATTTTGGTGCTTTTTGATATAGAAACATCTCTCTATCTGTGATTCGGTAGTTTGATGGGAAAGGGCCATGGGAACAGTCTAAACCGATTCCCCTCAGCCATGTTTCTCGTTTCAGTGTGATCCTGGAGATTCGGGGGGGCTGATGATTACAGGCTGAGCTAATTAAGGGTTTGTAGAAAACTCATCACAGTCCTCCACAAATCACACTGTGCTCATCTAGTAGTCTCTAGAGCACATCAAAGAGAGCACACACAACCTGCTGGAGTACCAGCATGCCTCTTTTTGTTTATCTTCCTTTTCTGCCTTGGATTTAATCATGTGCAATTATTTTACATCCTACAGCAAGGTTTTGTAGTCAAGGTTTGTGATGGAGCGGCTCGAGAGAGATTGATATTTTATGAAAATTAAATATGTATTTTAAATGTATACTACCATTTAAAAGTGTGGGGTCAGTAAGATTTCTTAAAGTTTTATATACTTGCCAAGGCTGCATTTATTTGATCAAAATAGAGTAAAAACAATAATATTGTGATATATTTCTAGAATTACTAGCATTTCTTAAAATCTCAAAAGGAAATATTTATTAAGTAATTATATAATTTAGATCCTAGGATAAAAGTTTGTAAGATAATAAAGAGAAATTATACAGATTATGGGAAGTCTGTGTAATATTCACATATTGACATAGTGAAAACAAATATAGTTAAATGTATTTGAAATTCTTTTGTGCAATTTTTTTGTGCTAAGTATACTACAAATACATTTGCATATTTATGTGCTTAATAAAAATACCCTGCAATTGTACTTTTGGTATACTAAACTGGTATACTTAAAGTCTGCTAAATTGGAACAACTGATTTTGTGCTTAATGCACTTTAATTGTGTGGAAATAGTGTTGAGGTCCAACTAAAGATATACTTAAGAATATTTGATTGTGCTAAAGTGGAACTATTGCAATGTATACTTCAGGTACACTTTAAATATCTCGCATTTAAAGACTGATATTATACAGTGATCATACAATCCTTATTAATAGTGATATTAAAACACATTTTAGGCATAAGAAATGTGCATTGTACTATAAAGAAATTCTCCAAATTAAGTTTCATTATTATTTTATACCAGTAAGTCTTAAGTGATATGTCAGTAAATATGTTAATAGTATACTTGAAGTATACTTAGAATGAAATACATGAATTTTAAATAAATCATGTCATATGATTTTATACTAGGGGAGTGTCAGCCAATCATTGAATGTCATCAAGTATATTTAAATTCCCGAGCACTCATTGTTCTCACAGTAGTAACTCAGTTTTTCAGTTAATACCTCTAAATGCCTAGCTGCATAATTTAACAAGAAACTGCACTTGCATTAATAAATTGCATTCATAGAACCCCAAAACCATTGTTAAATGTATTTTTCCACACAAAATATTACAGCCAATTTTATAAGCATTTCTAGATATTAACATATCGTAAAAACATTAAAGTTTATTTTTTCCATTTGCGTATCATAAAGACTGTGTTACTCAGCAGAGTCGGTGCCTCAGTCTGGGGCAAATGGCATGTAATGGCCAAAGGTCACACTGAAAATGTGTCATTGAGGTGGGCCCGACTCACTTAAGAGGGCAGCTGTTACCACATTCAGACCCCCCAGGCTGACATTACATGAGTTCTGTGTAGGTGTGTAGTTGTTTCAGTGTCTGCTGTAAGAGAGGGACTGTTCTGACAAGCACTGGGTGTTTGTATGTGCTGAAAGCAGGGTCGCGTCCTCTCGCTTGAGGACAGGGTCCTGATAAGAGTCTCTCCAGACAGTGGCGCTTCTGTTTATTTCCTCTCCTCTCTTCAGATCTGCATCAGTAGGATGCTGAGTGCCAGAGGCTGGCGCAGAGGAAACTAGATAACGTGAGGGAAATTTTTGCCACCCCTGACTCGTCTAATAGCTCATCTCTGTTGTGTTTTAGGAACGGCAGCGGCTGGAAACAATCTTGAACCTCTGTGCCGAGTATAACAAGGGCGACGGGCCGGCGGGAGATCTGGGGCTTGGCTCAAGGGACGGGCTTAACGTCAGACGTCCTTCCTTGGACAGTGTGAGCAGTGCTTCCATAAGGGTGACGCAGAGACATCGTCAAAGCCAAGAGGAGAACCTGAAGGAGGACAGCAGTAGCACTGAGAGTGCACAGCAGGATGGACGGACCCCACCAGCTCTGCTAAATGGACAAAATGGACAGGTCTGACTCTTTTTACTTCTTTAAATAAGAACAAATGTGGTACATATGTTTTCACTATTAGCAATGTTAGTGTTACGGGGCAGACAAGACGTGAGACGTGTGGATCCATGTGCAAGCTTTATTCACAGGCGTGGTCAGAAACAGGCATGGGTCAGACAATGGCAAACTGGTATGGAGAAGACAAGGCAAGGGCAATCCGGTAAACTAGCGAGGGTCAGTCGACGACAAACGGAATCCAACAGGGCGAGACAGAAGAGCAATCCAATAAACAGTCCAAGGTCAAAAACAAGAAGGCAAGGCAAGGCAAGGCAACACAGAGACTCGGAACAGGGTACAGGCTAAACAATAGTCGGCCGTTAGAAGGAGTGAGATGGAGTGTTAAATAGTGAGTGTGTGATATGAAACAGCTGTGTGCAATCAGTGCTGTGTGCAATCAGTGCAATGAATGATGGGATATGTAGTCCGGGGTGATATGCAACAGTGTGTAGTGCGAGAGTCAATGAAAATGGAAAGGGTGACCTCTGATGGCTAGCAGACGGAAGTTCATGGACCGGATACGTAACAGTTAGTATTTACCTTTTTAATCAATTATACAATATTAATGTGCTTTTCGTATTACATATTTGTATTATTACACTACAGTTTAAAAGTTTGGGGTCAGTAGGGGGTTTTTTTTGGATGAAATTAATGCTTTTGTTCATATTTTTATTCAAAAGTGACAGTAAAGAAATTCAAAACATTACAAAAGATTCCTATTTCAAATAAATGCTGTTCTTTTGACTTATCAAGAAATCATGAAAAAATGAATTACGGTTTCCACGAAAATGAAGTAACACAACTTTTTTTTAACATTGATAATAATAAGAAATGTTCATATTAGAATGATTTCTGAAGGATCATGTGACATTGAAAATTCATCTTTGCCATCACAGGAATAAATTGCATTTCAAAATATATTAAAATAGAAAAGAGATATTTTTAATTGTAATAATGTTTCACAATAGGACTGTTTTACTGTATTTTTGATCAATAAATTGCCTTGGTGAGCATGAGAGACTTCAAAAACATTACAAAAGAACTTACTGACCTCAAACTTTTGAGCAATAGTATATGTAAAAAGTAAATCATATAAACTGTGTGTGAATTGTATTTAGGCAGAGGACTCTCTGGGATCAGGCAGCATTGGCCGTCTGGAACTGGGATACCTGGAGGAGGAGCGAGTTCGAGTGCTGGCAAAGGTAGATGAGCTCAAAGCTCGAATCACAGAACTGGAGCAGCAACTTCAGGAGTCCAAACAGGAGGTGAGCCGCTCTTATAAACATTTTTATATAGTTAAATACACTGAAGGATATACAGGAAGTCCTTTCCTAATTATAGTGGATAAGAGTCGGAAGCAGAGGGAAGTGATGCGTAGTGGAACAGAGAATGTCAGATGGAGCTCTCGGGTGTGTTTATGTGGCCTGTGTGAGAATTGCTCTATCTGATGTGTTGATCTGGACAGGCGGAGATGGAAAGAGCTCTGCTGCAGGGAGAAAGACAGGCCGAGCTGGAGCAAATTGAGGCTGAGACAGAGATTATCAACCAGCTGCAGCGCAAACTCTGTGAACTGGAGAGCACCATTCAGAGAGAGAAAGACAAGGTAGGATACACACACCACATAAAAGTTCACCGAATGTAATTGTCCATATTCTGAACACATTTAGGCATTCATATTACATGTAGAAGTAAAAATGTTTCCATAAAGGTGTGGTCTTATTTAGCATTGCTTAGGAATCCACATCATCTCGAATTTCACATGAGGGTGAAAGATTTCCCCACGCAGATTTCGCAACTGGTAGGTTGGTCGTAAAATTGCCATGTTGACCAACAGAAATCTGCTTGATTTAAAAGTGACTTCATTGTAAGCTGTTCTTCATATGTATACACTATTGACAATAGACAATTTTTTGCTTGTGAAATTTCGCCGAAATGTGACATTTTTACATTTCAAATTTCAAATCCCCAAACTGACTGTTTTGTGTTTTATACTGTTGAGCATCTTTGGACTGAACAGCCTTTTCTGGTCTCTGACATTCCTTAAAGGCATGCCATTCTGCTGGATGGCCACTCAAGGCCCATTCTGGTCTCGATTGCCATCCCCAGGTAAAAAAAAACTAAAGAGCAACAGTGCTCATCCAAACTAGCCAAACTGCTTCCCGTTACATCTGGTCATTCTACATTCTACAATAGAGGATCTGAAGATGATAGTCACATTGAAATGCAGTTCACTGGTTTTGTTTGGGCAGAAAGCCAAGGTTCTGTCTAGTAATCAAGCATTCATTCACAAGAGGTGCTGTCTTTTTCCTCTCCTTTTGTGGTGGTTCTCATCAGGTCCTCTACAATGCTTGGCAACACTAACAAGCCTTCATTAACCTCTAATCTCCTCACTGCTTTTTTCCGCACTGACAGTCTCTCCATTTCTTCTGCTCGCCCCCTCGGGTTCAAAACTGTTTAGCTTAGCAAAACTCAGGCTTTGTGATTAGCGCACTGGCTATGAGGGACAATAGCTCCAGTGGTGCAAGACTCTGTGACTTACAGTGGGTGTCTTTTAGAATTTTTTTCTGCACGCGGTTTCAGAATTCCAGCTTTTATTTCTTATCCATCAGATTCTGGGTTTCTCTGGGTATTTTAGTCTCCTTTTTCGATTCTGCCAAGTATTAGGCTCTTGGAGATATCCTTAAAGGAACAGTTCACCCATAAATGAAAATTCTGTCATTATACCTTTTGTTATTATGGACTTACTTTCTGTTGAACGTAAAATGGGAAATTTTGAACACTGTGCTCGGCGTTCTTTCCCATGAATTTTCAGTGAATAGGAAATGAAACTTTCAAACATCAAAAAGGATGCAAAGCAACATAAAAGTATCAGTACGACCAATGCACTTTATATTCCACAAAAAGTTATGTCTTGATGACGTTAGGGGTCTTGCTTGGGAACCCAAATCACCTCTGAGTTTAAGAGAAAAGGCCAATGAAAATTGGCGAGTGGATTAAGATAGATTAAGATTAAGATAATGTTTATATCAGGTCTCCTCAATTAGTTTTCGCCGAGGGCCAAATTCTGCCAACAATACCAAGCCAAGGGCCACTGGCATATATATATATATATATATATATATATAATTGTTATTATTATTACATTTATTATATTATTGTTGCTTTTGTTAAAATAATCACAAGATGGTCACAAGATGAATATTCAGATTTATTTCCCCAGTAGTCTGTTTTATTTAAACAATTATGAAAATTTTTGCATTTAGATACAGAAGAACTTTGCCTGTTGAATATTAAAAACAAATGAACAAACAAAAAATCTGGATCTCCATGTCTGCCATGCAAATCAACTGTTCCTGCTCATTCTCAGACTGGATCTCTTCTCTCCACTTTCCCTAATTGCAGATTCAGTTATTAGATTTGTAAGTATTAATATTTTTATGCTTAGATTTTTTAACACCGTGTGTCCCAACCAGACATGACGCGATAAAAAGTATCTTTTCCATGTAGTTTTTGTCCTAACCACCCACGACAGCGACACGGGATTCTATTTTAGGAACGGTTTTTATTTTCTGCGACGTGGCAGGAACAACATACAAAATATGACAGCGATAATCTCAGGTAATGATTATGTGCTTTATTCAATGTTAAAAGTGTCTAATGTGAGTTTGAATATTATGATGCGTTATCTTTATAGCCACAGTGAAAGCAACAATAGATATTTTACCTCAGATCTTGAAAATAAATTAAAGCAAACTTTTACGTTAAAACTGTGAACTCACTGCGAACCAACATGTGTATTCCATAACAAAGATATCAGTCAGTCACTCACTCAAAACTGTTCAGTCCATTCACATTTGAATCATCTATTTTCCGTGTCCACTTTTCTTTTCTACACACTCGCCATGTTTTTGCTGTCACATCGTATCTACACTGGACGCAACAAAGCATTGCAAATCATTTGAACGTTGTGTCAGTACGTTATAAATAGAACAAGTCAGCAGTTGACTGTCGGGGATTTGTCGTGTTGCGCCGCATCCAGTGTTGACAGCATCACTGATTATAACGGGTTGCTTTTATTATTTTTAATCCGGTGTAGACACGATGTAAGTTAATGTAGCTTTCTGATGCTGCGTTTGAATTTTCATGCCACATTATTTGAAATTAGTTATGAAAAGCGCTTTACAAGTAAATCAACTCAAATTGAATTTTGCAGTTTTCTGTGAGCGTTATAGCTGATTTCACAATTTTCAGTGAAAAAGTCTTTACATAGATAGAACTGTATATATATATATATATATATATATATAAAACAGAATTGTTCATTCAGATCTTTATTGATCTGTTTGTTTGCTTTGAACCCATTGGCTTCCACCACGCTCATGTTACCAGACCGGCTGTAATTTGTACTAGATTGATCTTGACCGCAAACAATCTGTGCAGTGTTTGTGCAAACATGGAAAATTCCCCTATAAACCTCGAAAATGAATCTTTAAACAGAATCTGGTTCTGTCTGTGCTTTGATATATTGATGTTTTGACATGCTTTGAATGTTCTCATATTGGTCTGGAAAAGAAAACCATGCATGAATGCAATGTGTAGTAGAATAGCTCAACATCTAGCCTTAGAAATATCCGAGGACTAACTTAAAAAAAAATAAAAATCTGATGCATTTAGTATGATGCTATTGCAAATCTTTCTTTTTATGATAAAAGAAAGAAAAAAGGCCAGCTTCATCAAACTAGCCAATGATGCCAAACAAATCAATTCTTGCCATCTGATATAGCATAATCTCATCTAAAAAGCACATACCAGCGGAAATTTATTACATCTGAAGTCATTGACCAAGAAATGCCTGAGAACAGAAGTCTGTTTGGCCCTGTTGATGGCCTACAGTCCAGTGCCACTTAGTTTATAGTATTTTATAAGACTTAAGGCCCGTTCACACCAAGAACAATAATTATAAAGATAACTATATTAGCGTTCACACCAGCGGACGATATCATCTGTTTGTTCCATGCGCACGCTCGTCTGCCGCTTTAAATTCTTGAGCTCGTTATAGCAGGACTGATTCTGATTGACTGTCAATGTTTTTATCATTCATCAGCTGGGAAAAAATCATTCTGAAAGTGATTCCAACGATATCGTTTCTCTGTGCCTTTATCGTTATAGCTGTGGTGTGGACTCTGTGGTGTGCTATTCTTTAATATTGAGAAAGATTTTTAGAACTATATCTTTATCGTTATCTTTATAGTTATCGTCCTTGGTGTGAACAGGCCTTTAGAGTTCATCCTTTCTGGCTCCACCCACTCTGTTGTGAACTCTAACCACGGACGCTTCTGCATGGCGTGGATTTTAGCTGTGTGTTCTCTTTCTCTCCCCTCCCCGGATGGTGTGTTTTCTTTCTAGGAGAAGGCTAATGTTGAGGCGGAGCGGGAAGCCCTGGAGAGGCTTCAGGATGAGTACAATGAGTTGACGAACCAGCTTCATAACTGCCCTGAGTCTCTGAGGGAGCAGTTACAGGAACAACTCAAGAGGGTCAGTGACCATCAGGAACATCAGCACTTTAAGAACTGCTTCCGTCCCACAGTCCTGGCTTTATAAACCCCACTTTTCAGATACACATTCCCAACTAAGCTCCTTTGGGTTGTCTATACACCGAATCCACCATGATGATCCTAGTAGAACCAGTATTCAATGTTTATTATTATTAAGAAGGATTTCTGCTGGGAACATCATGTTTTTATTCTTGTCTGCCTTAGTTTAGTGCACTGAAGTAAGTGTCTAAATTCCTAATGGGAGGTAACGTGGTGTTAATTGGTGAAATTTTGCATGTTTTCGACATTTTTGGATGTATTGTTAAGGCTTCTTACATGCTACTGTCTGGTGCCAAAATATTAATAACACTTAACAATGTACTAATCTATTAATGCAGAAACTAACGTAATGCTAGTTTTGTTTTGATACCTCTCACTTCTCTCACATGATTATTTCCCTCAAACCAGTTAAGCAAAAACCCCATCCAGTAAATTTCTTTGGTCAAATCAATCATGCTGTCACAAGTCAATAAAGTTCAGAGTTTAGAAAAATCAAGAATGAATCTGATCACGACAAACATGCTATTTATCTGAAAGTGCAACCAGTGTTATTATAAGGTAAAGGTTAGGGTTAGGGTTAGGGTTTAGGATAGGGTTAGGGTCAGTATTTGTTTAAGTATTATATAGGCAATCAGCTGTTATTGACATGCCCAATAAAATCTTTAAAATCGCTAAAGGGTTTGCACTTAGCTTGTTTGGGGGAAAATCATGCACTTCTTTCTATATACCACAACAGATTATGATACTTTGGCCAAAATATATTTTTGCAATGTATTTTGATTTGATTTGTGTAAAAAGACACAAAAATACAACGCATACCAGGAAGTCTCTGTTTAAAATATGAAGAAATATATTTATTGTGATTTGCATAGTTGAAGGAATCTCATCGGACAGTGCTCGGGCAGTGTTTTTGATGACTAGCCCTTTTTGCAGGCAGAAATATCCCAAGGGTTGCACGAGAGAGAAGTGATGTCATGTGCGCACTGAGCCTTCAAGCTTCACAGTGTCAGAAATGCTTTGATGAATTGACAGCAAGGGTTAGCCAGTGTCCTTGAGATCTGTATATAGAAAAGACTTTTCATAAGATGAATTTATGATCTGAAGTCTCAATGTCATTCCTCTTTTTTCAGTCTTTCCCAGTTTTTACCGTCCCAGCTGACTGTTTAAATGATGTTTGATGTACTTGGGTTTCAGTTGTATGTATTATGATAGATCTTAAAGGATTCTGGAAGAGTGTATTATTTCCACACAGATCTGTGTGTAGCACCAGGGTTTTCAACCGCACCCCGGGGATCCCTGAAATTACTGCAGGAAGTCTTTAAAATTATATATAAACCATAAGAATATGTAGAAATGTTATATATTTTAAAATGTATTTCTAAATATGGTTTATGTAATATTAAATGAATGCATGTTACCCATACCTGTTTCTATACCAATCATTTTCAATAATTGAAAAGAAAATTAATTATTTATTTAAATTTAAATAAAGAATGAATGACTATAAGTATTATTATTAGTAAATGTTTATTTAATAACAATAATTTAGTTAATATTTTAATCAAATACATTTTAAAGTATTTTTACTTTTTGGATTTTTGGATTGTATTTGGATAAGGTTTACAGACCATGTTGCATAACGTTCCTACTGGTTCCTCCCTGTGGCTTTTTAAGCTTACTTAGCTTGACTGCTGCAGAGCATGCGTAATGCTGTCGTTTTATGGGATGCTTTGACTAGTGTTTGACCCTATATTTGGATGTACGTGTGTGTAGGAAGCTGAGACCATTGAGGCTGCGACTAAGCAGTTTGAGGACTTGGAGTTCCAGCAGTTAGAGAAGGAGAGCAGTCTAGAGGAGGAGCGCGAGACCATCACCCAGCAGCTGCTGCAGGACAGAGCTCAGTACCACAGCAGCATCACCAAAAGAAAGGTAAATTAAACTTAGACACATATAATAAAGCATGGATGCACCAAGAGCATCTCAACCTAATGTCCAAATTGTTGTTTCCAGGAAAAAGTTGTGGCATTGGAAAGCCAGGCCAGTCAGTTGGGAATACAGGCCACTCAGGAGTGTGAGAGACTGGCCAAGGACAGAAGTATGACCTTGCAACTGCTACAGAAGGTACAAGAAATGAAAATGACTTCCTATATTCACTTTTAATGTTCTTGCTCATTTTAAGAGCACTTTAGGATGAGGACTTGCACCAAATTTCTCCAAAACCTGTTCCATATCAATGTCTACGTGGATGCTTGGTAAAAAAGACCAACTTTTTCAAAAGTTTAGTATAAAATTATTGAATTAAATCTGTGCGTTGGGAAATGTGCGGCCTGATGTGTGCAACCCACTCGACACGGGAAAACCACCACCGCTGAAGCGCCGTCCTCCAACACGAAGAGCTCTCCAAGAGCGTGCTGAACTCGTTCAGTCTTCTCTCCGTAGAGTAGTCAGGAGCGGAACGATGTGATCGCTCGGCTCCGAAGCGAAAAGCTGAATATGCGCTGCACCTGCTGCCTACTTATACTCACGCTGTGATCAGCAGCAGCTGGATGCAATAATCGCATGCCAATGTGCATTGGCTCGTTTAGTTTACACTCGAAGTAGATTGGTCCCTCTAAGCGAGATCCCAATTCGTCGGTCCTCCGACGTGACGTCGAGAGTGACCGACTGAGAGGGAACTAAAAGTACTCATTTGAATTAATTGGTTTGTTTGAATAGTTTGTGTAAATGAGCCGTGTCACTGCCCACCCTTACGAAAAAGAAGTTTATTCAATTGTGCTATTAGTATACTTCTTCTAAAAGCAAAAGCTTCTAAAAATAGGAAAGTATACTTTCAGTCTACTTTTTATGTAGTTCTCAGAAATGTGCTTTATGTACTTCTCAGAAGTATACTTAAAATTACATTTAAGTATACTTAGAAAAAGTCTATATATATTTGAGCTATAGCTACTTGTGCTCCGGGAATCCATGTTTTCATTGTTGCATGGTAGGGGGCGCTATTATACATCTTCTGTACAGAAACAAGCCAAGAAGAAACCAAAACAACAGATGCTTCCACATGTAATGTCACATGATCAGACATAAAACAGCATCAAAACTGTGTAAAGTTATGGAATAAAATGTTGACTCATGAAGAGGTAATGACTGTCAAGCTTTGAGGTGTTGATGTCGACTCCATCTACATTTTGATTATCATTTTGAATCCAATTCATAGTCTTTTTTCAGCTTTTTGTTCAAAATGTTATTTTTTTTTTTATTTTATGAAACACCCACATTCAAGTGTTTACAAAAAAGAATGCATTAAGCTAGAATAAAATGTTTTTGTTTACAAGCAAATACCCTGTTCTTTCTTTTGATGTTTGTATGTTCAGATAGCCTATTCATATAGCAAAATATATACAAATTAATACCTAAATAGGGACATAGTAGTATACTTAAAGTATGATGTAAAGTTCACTTAAAGAAAACTTATGAGTATACTTGCAGTATAAAACTACTAAACTAGTAGTTTACTGAGACTATACTTCTGAGTGTACTGAAAATGCTACACAAGTATTTAATTAGTAAATGATCTGTATACCTATAAGTTCACTTTTAGTATAGTTGCAGTACAAACTAAAACATAAATGTAAACTAATTGGGCACTCAAAGTTGACTACTGTTTTACTTAAAGTATACTTAAAAGTATATATTTATATCCTAGAAAGTGGGCCAATTTAGTCCCAAAGAGTATTGAAATAGTACACTTGCAAGTATACTACTAGTACACTGATATTTGTATATTTACTACATAAAGTATACTTAAAAATATACTTGAACTTTACTTAAGTATAAAATAAACTTGAAGTATACTTCTTTTTGGTAAGGGCAAATATTTTTCTAGTTTTATTAGTTTTCAGTTGAGATCATGATTGTTTTTGTTCCATATAAGTATTGCTTTGATTTGATTATAAAAAACAAAACAAAACATTCCTGTTCAAAATGTTTTGGGTCAGTTAGATATATTAGTTGGGTTAGATAAGTGTCTTAAGCTCACCAAGGCTACATACATATTTGATCATAAATACAGTAAAAACAGTACTATTTTAAATTTTCAGCAGCCATTACTCAAGTCTTTAGTGTCACATGATCCATCCGAAATAATTCTAATATGATTTAGTGCTCAAGACATTTCTTGTTACAATCAATGTTGAACACAGTTGTGCTGCTTTATATTTTTGTGGAAACCATCATACTGTTTTTAACTGATTGACTTGGAATCTATGTTTCAGGAAAAGGAAAGGCTAGCAAATCTGGAGAGAAGATACCAGAGTTTAACTGGTGGAAAGACGTTCCCCAAAAGCTCCAACACTATAAAGGAGGTAAGCAGAACTGTAATCAAATGCTTCATGAGCCTGTTATGCTAGGCTACAAGATATAACTGCTAAATATTTGCTCCCCTGCTTGACATTAGAATATATTTGTTGGTTAACGTATTTTTAAATGTTGTTGTTTTTTCCAAGTACAGTATGATTTCATGTGACCTTCAAATGGTTGATGGGGACCCGTAGTATGTTTATTAGCAAACATTTTGCAATCCATCTTTGTAGTTTGGTTTTCTTGGGCTAGGAAAGCTAAGGTTTAGCTTTGTAGCCAGATGTTCCTGGTAGCATATGCGTCCCCTGTGCATCCCATAACATTTCGGTTAGCGAAACAGGAAATGAAATCTTTTAGACTCAGGATATTGTTTGACTTATAAACCTCCACCCAGGATGTGCTTCACATCAGCGAGGCTGACCTGTTAAATGATGACCACCCCTACTCCTCCCCCTTTCATGCTTCCTCATTCCACTCATATCCCATGGTGCCTCAGGAGGTAACTGAACTAACTGTCGATGCATGCAGCCTGGAGCGTGCTCTGAGAACATGCCAGTACAGAGCATCTCAATTTTTGTTGCCTTATGGAGAGCAATTGGCTTGTTGGGATCTCATGTTTGCAGGCTTCCAAAGACAAATCACACTTCCTCTGAAGTTTTGGAAGAGGTTTATTGATTTTGTATGAAGCCAAGGCGCTTAGAAAAAGTTTCACATCAACACATCAAGTGTTAGGAAAATTTTGCCATTTGTGTGAATTGGTTTATTTAGATTCAGCAAATGATTTACAGATTAATTTTATCCACTGTGTTTTATTGTTTTATTAGATTTATAACTGAGATCATAATTGTTTTTGTTCCATGTAAATATTGCTTTGATTATACAAAAAAAGTGAAAGAATTATCTTTCTTATATTATTGTGAAAGAAATATCTTATGCTTATGTTAAGGCTTTATACATATTTAATAAAAAATACAGTAAAAAAATGAATATTGTGAAACATTATTAATTAATTGATATATATATTTGATTTTATTTGGTATATTTGATTGTTATGAAACTAAATAAATATTGCTAAGCGTGTATTTACTTTTTGTTAAGTGTTTATAGAGTAGCTACTTTTTCAGAAGTAATTTGACTGTAGTTGGACTACTTGAAATTATAGCTGCGTCCCAAATGCCACACTATGGACTTATACACTATGTACTTATGCACTGTACTCAACCATGTAGTATATTAAATATATAAGGTTGTTTTGTCATTCATAATTGGAGTCTGATAGCCTCTCCCCCTTCGCTACATAATTAAAGCCGTGACAGTTGAGTGCATGAAGTGTCCACCATTTCACACTTTTCGGTTATTTAAGTGCATTATCCGGGTATTTAAAATGCACATTTCCTTTTTGGAATGTTCAGTGTGAACACACTACTCGCACTATTTATACTACAAAATGGCATAGAACAGTGCATAAGTACGCGATTTGGGATGCACTGCTTGAGTAACTTGTCATTTGAATTCATATAAAGAGTTAGATGGAGGCATGAATATGACAGAACTGCTCTCATTGGGTTTGGATGTGAGTAAACTGACAGCTGAACTTCTGTCCTGTGTGAATTGATTGACTGGTAACGTCTCTCAGGAGTACTTGAAGCTGTCGGATGTTTATAAGATGTATGGGAGTGATTGCCATGACATCCAGCTCACCAACGCTTCCTCACATGGCCTCTCGCTTGCCCTTGACCCAGCTGTAACTGCTCCCCGTGAGGTATCATAGCTGCTCTCTTCTTTCTGCTTCTCTCTTTTAAACTTATTTTCCTTTCTTCATACCTATAGTGCTACTTATATTTGTGCTGTAGATATTTGTTAGCTTTGCATCATATACATGACCATAACCAAGCATTATAGTATTACGGGACATGCTAGGAAACGGGTGCCTTTTCCAGTTTAATAAGGAAATTGATCATAAATATTCTGACAAAGAATGTGTTTAAGTGTTAAAGGAATAGTTGAGAAAATTAAAATTAGCTAAACTTTTACTCATCCTCAGGCCATCTAAGATGTAGATGAGTTTGTTTCTTCATCAGAACAGATTTGGAGAAATTTAGCATTACATCACTTGCTCACCAATAGATCCTCTGCAGTGAATGGTTGCCGTCAGATGAAGAATGAAATGTTATTAAATACCAAACTTTTTTTGGAAATTCTTTGAATTTCACTCCAATTCTCTATCCTGTTTGCTAACATCAATTCAAATTGTTGAATATTCTATGCATAATGTGGATTTAGTACATGTATGATATATATATATATATATATATATATGATTAATTATTAAAAATTAATTGATATATATATTTGATTTTATTTGGTATATTTGATTGTTATGAAACTAAATAAATATTGCTAAGCGTGTATTTACTTTTTGTTAAGTGTTTATAGAGTAGCTACTTTTTCAGAAGTAATTTGACTGTAGTTGGACTACTTGAAATTATAGCTGCGTCCCAAATGCCACACTATGGACTTATACACTATGTACTTATGCACTGTACTCAACCATGTAGTATATTAAATATATAAGGTTGTTTTGTCATTCATAATTGGAGTCTGATAGCCTCTCCCCCTTCGCTACATAATTAAAGCCGTGACAGTTGAGTGCATGAAGTGTCCACCATTTCACACTTTTCGGTTATTTAAGTGCATTATCCGGGTATTTAAAATGCACATTTCCTTTTTGGAATGTTCAGTGTGAACACACTACTCGCACTATTTATACTACAAAATGGCATAGAACAGTGCATAAGTACGCGATTTGGGATGCACTGCTTGAGTAACTTGTCATTTGAATTCATATAAAGAGTTAGATGGAGGCATGAATATGACAGAACTGCTCTCATTGGGTTTGGATGTGAGTAAACTGACAGCTGAACTTCTGTCCTGTGTGAATTGATTGACTGGTAACGTCTCTCAGGAGTACTTGAAGCTGTCGGATGTTTATAAGATGTATGGGAGTGATTGCCATGACATCCAGCTCACCAACGCTTCCTCACATGGCCTCTCGCTTGCCCTTGACCCAGCTGTAACTGCTCCCCGTGAGGTATCATAGCTGCTCTCTTCTTTCTGCTTCTCTCTTTTAAACTTATTTTCCTTTCTTCATACCTATAGTGCTACTTATATTTGTGCTGTAGATATTTGTTAGCTTTGCATCATATACATGACCATAACCAAGCATTATAGTATTACGGGACATGCTAGGAAACGGGTGCCTTTTCCAGTTTAATAAGGAAATTGATCATAAATATTCTGACAAAGAATGTGTTTAAGTGTTAAAGGAATAGTTGAGAAAATTAAAATTAGCTAAACTTTTACTCATCCTCAGGCCATCTAAGATGTAGATGAGTTTGTTTCTTCATCAGAACAGATTTGGAGAAATTTAGCATTACATCACTTGCTCACCAATAGATCCTCTGCAGTGAATGGTTGCCGTCAGAATGAGAGTCCAAACAGCTGATAAAAACATCACAGTAATCCACATATAAACCACACTACTCCAGTCCATCAATTAACTTCTGCTGTAAAAAGCTGGGTGTTTGTAAATCATCATTAAGGCATTTTAACTTAAACATTTAACTTTGAATATTTTAATTAGGGATGCACCGATACCACTTTTTCCAGTACTCGCCCGATGCCAATACTTTTATTTTAGGTACTTGCCGAAACCGAGTACCGATACAGATATTTTTATTACATTTGTACGTTTTTTAAATATTGGGTACAGAAACCAAAAGGGTGTGTATAATGTTAGTTGGTTAACTTCATTTATCAAATAGATACAGTCAAACCAAAATTTGTTCAGACACCTTCAACATTTCTCACATTATTTCAGTTTATTCGCTATAGTTTAGAAAATGTTAATAAAATATAACAAGAACTCAAGAGTTAAACTGTGTCAGAACAAATTCAGCTTGATAATGTTAGATAACTTTGATAGAAAGGCATGTAATGGATTACAATCAACCAAAAAATTACTCAGACAGTTGTTAGTATGACAGTATTTACACAATTATCAATACTTAGTCGGGCAGCCCTTAGCCTTATTGACAGCCTGTAGTCTCCTGGGCATGCTGTCATCCAGGTTTATGCAAACCTGAACTTTTTTTCCCAGACTCGGTCTGAATAATTTTTGGTCCCAAATTTGTATCAGTTTTACTGGTAGTCCACTGTATGAAGACTTTTTGGGTATAATTTGTCACAGTTTACTTTATTTTGCTATCCTCACTTACATAAATGAACTATAGTGAAAGTGACAGTGATGTGACATGTGGCCAAGTATGGTGACCCATAATCGGAATTAGTGCTCTGCATTTATCCCATCCAAAGTGCACACACACAGCAGTGAACACACACACACACCGTGAACACACACCCGGAGCAGTGGGCAGCCATTTTTTGCTGCGGCGCCCGGGGAGCAGTTGGGGGTTCGGTGCCTTGCTCAAGGGCACCTCAGTCGTGGTATTGAAGGTGGGATAGAGTGCTGTACATTCACTCCCGCCACCTACAACTGCAACCTTTTTGGGTTACAAGTCTGACTCTATAACCATTAGACCACGACTTCCCCATAGTGTCCTGCACCCACTACACTCTAAAAAATGCTGGGTTGTTTCAACCCAACTTTGAGTAAAATATGGACTAACCCAACTTTTGGGTTGAAAATTTAATGTAAAAATTTAACCCAACGGTTGGGTTAGTCCATATTTGACCCAAAGTTGGGTTGAAACAACCCAGCATTTTTTAGAGTGTAGTAAAAAAATATAAAAAATTATATCTGGTCTCGGAATCATTTTTGGTTTGACTGTAAATCCTTCGGTTATTTTCACACTTAATTATGCCCATTAAAATGTATTTTACAAAGTTTTGTTACTTTCATTGTTCATTTTTTTTCTTTGCTCTATGGTACATCATCTTTAATTTAATAGCATTAGAGCTGCTCCATTGCAGCGGCTTAGTACTGTAATCACACGCTTTGCTGTAATAATGCAGGAAACCACTTGTTATAAATCTCCTAACTGATATTTTCAGAAATAGAAGTCGCGTTTTTTTCATCTAAAACGTGCTGCGATTTATATTCCAAAGCCACTCATATAATGCAGAAACACTCAAGCAAGCAAAACACACGCAACGCGTGCACGTATTTGTACTGGTGCAGAATGAGAGGGACAAGTAGTATAGCCTAGCGCATTTCACACAGGCTGCTAGATTCACTTTTGACAGAAAATAAATTGTTTATAGTGAATGCCCCTAAAATTGGTCTTATTTTTACAATTTAGTTTTAATCCAAATGATGCGTGTGCTAAATGAGTGCACATCAAAGATCACACAACAGAAGCACTCTTAATCTCTAATAACTCCATTCTGCTGTCTGTTGTTCTGTTGTCTGTGTTTCTTTGTCTGAATATGGCACTTATCACATGCTGTGTGGTATCAGCGTTTGGTATCGGGGCATTTTAACGAGTATGAGTACGAGTACAGGAGCTCAGTATCGGGACTGATACCAGTATCGGTATCGGTGCATCCATAATTTTAACCAATGCTATTGGCCAAAATACCAGTCATTAATCCATAATAATGCTCTTCTACATTTTGGATGCAGTGAGAGTGATTACATTTTCAGCTAATTTTCATTTATAGGTGAACTATTAATTTAATAAACAGCATTATGGCATCTCGAGTGAAATACAGCTAATGTTATATTTGAATTAAAGTTCAGATTAAAAAAATTCAGATCAGACTTATCATAATTAAAACTATTAAAAAAAATTTTGTTAATTGAGTAAAGTTGAATAATATATAAATATGTGACAAGTGGGGTGGTGGGGCCGAGAGCCGTGGGAACGGAGAGAGGCCGGTGGAGTAAATGATAATGAGCGACACCTGCGCCACTCACCGGTCTCGAGTCCCACGGAGGAGTGACGACAGTGAAGGATAACTTCACTGAACTGGAAATAAATAAAAACTAAAACAGAAATAACATTTAATTCTATTTTTATTTTTAAAAAGTAATGAAAATGACCAAAGCTTACAAAAAAAAGCTATTACTAAAAATTAACAAAAAATTCAAACTGAACATATAAAAATAAAAGCTAATTTAAAACATTAATTAAAAAAAATAAGATTATATAGATAATACTGAAATAAACCATTGTTTGGATATAATTATGCTTCCTAAAACAATAAAGGTTTATGGTAACAGTTGACAGTTTTACAGTTTAATTTGGCAGCCATGAAGGTCATGAAACTACAAGGTAGATAGATGCATGTAAATAATAAAGGTAGCTTTTCTTTTCATATATTTTGTTTTCAATCAAATGTGTATATTTGATGATACAGTAAGGAGTTGGAAACAGAGGTAGGAAAGATAAAAAAGGCATACATTAATTGGAATGAATAGATGAATGAATTAATTAATTAATACATAAATAAATAAACACAAATGGCACCTGTTTTATAGAATGACCCAGTACCTGATCAAACTCTAGGCTTGATGCAATAAATCAGTATCTTACATGTTATTTTTTTTGTCCTAACCAGCTGCATTTTTTTATTCATTTGGTTGCAGATAGCCCTCCCTATCGAGAAATCTCATTGGGTCACAATCTTACTCCACATAACTGTATATTAAACATCAAATATGTTTTGATTGGCTGTTTTCGCTTTCACTGTAGACAGATAAATTACAGTACCTGCTGCTGGAAACTTGTCGCATTGCATCTAGTTAGGACACAGTATAAGGGCTGATGTTTATGCATAGATGGAACTGAATAGCTTTTTTTTACTTAATTATGTGCTCTAGTTGCTAACTTTATCACTTCTTTTTCCTGCACTGCTACTTCCTGTTTTTCCCTTCTGCCTGTGTCCGCATGTCACTCCTGGATGTCAGGAGTATGTGACCGTCGGCCAATTAAACCAGATCTATGGGATGCCGAAGGTGGAGTCTTCCCCTACCTCACCCATCCAATTACTTCAGTCTTCTCTCGCAGACTCCGCATTCTCCTACCTCCCTTCCCCTCACGGCTCTTCCCTCTCTCTCTCCTTCGAGGTGTGTCTCTCCTCCTCTGTGTTCTCTCTCGTTTTATTCCTGGTTAGGGCTGGGTATCATCAACAACCTGTATCATTCAGTCATTGAACAAATCATTCAGTTGCTCATTAACACTCTTCTCTTTCTCTCTCTGGCATTCCACCATTCCACCTCTCTCTCTCCCGCTCATGCTGTCTGTGCTTATGGATGTGCTGTGTGTGTTAAGCGTCAGTCGGACTGGGGCAGGCTTCAGATGCCCGCTCTAGATTTAGAGCGCTGGTACCAGGAGGTAATGGCAGCTGGAGATGCAAACCATCTCTGCCCTCCTCCTCCCCTCCCGGCTAAAGCTTTCTCATCACGCAAGCCTGCGCAGGTAACAGCCAGAAGCTCAGCTCTCTTTTACCCTATTCTGCTCTTCCACATTTTCATACTTCATCTTCATAGGACTCTTTTATATTGACGTGTCTAAGTAAGTTTGTTTTTGTGGGTGTTTTGCTTAAGTGCCATATACAGGTGCATCTCAATAAATTAGAATGTCGTGGAAAAGTTCATTTATTTCAGTAATTCAACTCAAATTGTGAAACTCGTGTATTAAATAAATTCAGTGCACACAGACTGAAGTAGTTTAAGTCTTTGGTTCTTTTAATTGTGATGGTTTTTGGCTCACATTTAACAAAAACCCACCAATCTCAACAAATTTGAATACTTCATAAGACCAATAAAAAAAACATTTTTAGTGAATTGTTGGCCTTCTGGAACGTATGTTCATTTACTGTACATGTACTCAATACTTGGTAGGGGCTCCTTTTGCTTTAATTACTGCCTCAGTTCGGCGTGGCATGGAGGTGATCAGTTTGTGGCACTGCTGAGGTGGTATGGAAGCCCAGGTTTCTTTGACAGTGGCCTTCAGCTCATCTGCATTTTTTGGTCTCTTGTTTCTCATTTTCCTCTTGACAATACCCCATAGATTCTCTATGGGGTTCAGGTCTGGTGAGTTTTCTGGCCAGTCAAGCACACCAACACCATGGTCATTTAACCAACTTTTGGTGCTTTTGGCAGTGTGGGCAGGTGCCAAATCCTGCTGGAAAATGAAATCAGCATCTTCAAAAAGCTGGTCAGCAGAAGGAAGCATGACGTGCGCCCAAATTTCTTGGTAAACGGGTACAGTGACTTTGGTTTTCAAAAAACACAATGGACCAACACCAGCAGATGACATTGCACCCCAAATCATCACAAACTGTGGAAACTTAACACTAGACTTCAAGCA